CTTTTGAAAACTTTTGACTCTGCATTGGTTAGCCGTTAATACTGTTTCAGTTATCGCTTATTTTTTTCTTGCTTGCCGATTGTGGGAAATTTTTACGGCAAATTACGTTATGTAAACGCATTATATGGCTAAAATATTACTATAACCAAGTAACACAGAATTGACAAAGATGGCATTTTCCCAATTTAATTTCTAAAGGTTTGTAGGCAGCAATAAAATCAAGAAAATACGTCTATGTTTAATTTACAACGTGCTTTTTATCTCATTACATTTTTCTGCTTGTCTCATGACATCTATCCGTTTACGAATTGTATACTGAACAATTACTGTTGAAGTTGCCAAAAAATTCTTTGGTATCTCGTCAGTAAAGTAGAATATACTTCTGGTTAAAGCAAGTACTAATATAAAAACGCATGTTTTTACAAAATAAAAGTTGATCGGCTATTTTAACAAAATCAACAAGGGTTTGCAAAATTTTTGGAGTATAAAAACTGGTTGTCACAATAATAATCCTAATTTCATCGGATACCTTATTCATAGCAACGGCAACGTAAAACACCACCATGCTTATGCCTATGACGATAATATGAGACCTATCACAACCCCAAACGTTGCTCATCCAAAATGCTGGAACTATAACAGAGGGAAAACTTATCAAAAAGCCACATATGTATTTCCTTATCTTCGCGTCGATATCGTTACCAATTCGCTCGCATCTGCTTAATGCAACCACTGCACACACTATATGGACCAACATGTTTCCAATCGAAAATTTTTTTACAGCTGAAGAATCGTTAAAAGCAAATGACACCGTTAATGGAATGGCCCAAGTAACTGTATTGTACAATACATCGTCCAGCAGTGGCAACAGCGTACATTTTATCAACCCAGGTTTTCCCGAAGCATTTAGCAAGAGGACAAAGATTATCGGAAAAAGCATGTTAAGTATTGCGTCGTATAAATCTCCGTACGGTGTATAAAAGGCATCGATAATAGCCGCTTTTGCATACGGGATAAATGAGAAAAGTACGATGTAACGGAAAAGAGAATTCAAAGCTCTTGTTAACGTGTATTTGACGTAACAGTGTTTAGTCTCCATTCCAAATCTGAAAAGTCTTAAATAAAAACAACAAATTTGACAAAGTAAAACTAGAAAATAGTCGTAATTGCCAATCGCAGAGTAAAAGTTATCATTTGGACTTTAATGATATTGCATATAGTATTTATAGACTTCTCGTTCTGTAATCATTTTTGTCCTATCAGACCTTTTTTGGTTAACTCGTAGCAAAATAACTTTGGGCGCAAACTTTAATGTTAATTTTATTGGACAGTTAGCCACGTTCTAGGCCACAATATACTGATCACAATTACACGGGCCATGAGTGGTGTACGACGGTCATTTTTGGAGCAAGAAAACGATTATTGAGCAAATGGTGCATATATTGTATTGTATTGAATAGCAGTATTCGAGTAAACACCGTGATATAGTCAGCCATGCCATATAACAGTTAATGTATGTTCTCATTTACGAGCAATTTTGTTTTATTTAGCCATGCACTTAGAAGGAAAAATGTAACAGCTTATTAAAAGTTCAATGTAATTACTGTATTTCTAAAAAAGTAGTCAGAATTTTTGAATGGTATGTCAGTTTAATATTACAAAAAATTAATAAAAATAATTTAATTCTTTAGCGATTTGTAGTATCTCAATTGGGAATTTTGTTTAAAGTTTTGCTGCACATGTGTGACACGGTCAGCGATTATTACTTATCTACGCAAAGCGTTAGCTTTCTGTGACAAATTGATGGGGTGTAAAAACATGCCAAATCTGTAATAAAGTACTGAATTTGGCCCGAGTAATTGATTGTATGTCGCGCGTTTATCAGATAAAAATGTTGTGTTATGTTAAAATGCGTGAATAATAATAGCGATAAAGTTTGAAGTTGCCGCGTAATTTTTTACTTTCACTACGGGTAGCAAAGCAGCTGCTGATAGGAAATTATTCTCCATCTTGTACCTTTAAATGACAAAATTTTGGTATTATTAGTGATTCTCGCTAACACTTATATTGTTTGATTAATCTCTGTAAACTGTTGTATGAATGGTAGATATTTTGTAAAATTTAAAATATTTGGATAAGTTATTTGATTAAAAATAAGGTCTAATGGTCTTGCAAAATTTTTTAACGCAACGTCATTGTTACGGCGAAGCTGATATGATGAATCAGATAAGTAAGTCATGTACCAATGAACTTATTTAGTATACTAATCAATAAACTCTTTCGCAAAATTTGGCCGCTGCTATATAATACTATTTTATGCTGCAAACGGGAGAATTTAATATTAGGGTGATTACAGACATTTTTAAATCAACTATTCGAAAAGCGTTTCACAACGTTAACTAGACCCAATACATCGTATGAGATGGACAATTATGATATAACTCTTAGAGATGCCGGAGACAGCCCACGTTACATTAAAACTTAGTCATTACGTGTAACGTCTCTTAAGTATGTCTTCGGTCATACGAGCAGAAGTGTGGGATACATCAAGTTTGTGCATTTAAGTCTTTGTAGAATATCTGCATATATTTTTATTTTTTGTTTAAATAAATATAAACTATTAATGTTTTTATTAAAACGTATAAAATTAACCATGAATGCGAACATAGCTAAAATAAATTTTAAATCTTCTTTCAGCAGCTTACAAAGGGTTCCCTTCGACTGAATTGTCATTGTGACTCACGAACCAAATAATTTAAATAATTAGAACGTTAAAGTAAATAAATTGTAGCAATACAACAAATTAATAATTTTTAGCTAAATATCAACAATTATCTTTCTAACATGTCAACTCTCATTACTATCCTCAGAAGGCGCCTCGATATCTTCCTTATGTGGTTTACTTTTTATGACGTTGTCTATGCTGACAACATATTCCTTTAAAAAAAACTCCAATGAAAGCAGTCTCTCTTCTACCGAAAAATTTTTCGATAACTCAGGGTCCAAGAACGGAATATTTGGGTTGTCGTTATTGTCTTGCTGGTGTTTCTCAAAATTTCCATAATTACTTAGATTGTCGTAGAGAGCGGACCTAGCTTTGTGGCGAATACACGGCAGATTTTGAACCAAACCCCATGGACTCTTTTTCTCAGAACCTGTAGAAACGAAACAAGAGTGAGAATATAGACGCGCAACAAAATGCGTGCACTTGACAGAAAAACAGAGTAATAAATTTTAAAAAAGTTTGTTTACATACCATATAAAAACACATAAATGCTTATTGCAGTGGCGTAAATACCACCCACAGCACTGAGAAGATCGCTTACCGTCATATTGCTAATATTAAAAGTCAACATATGTAACATAAAATGTTAATAACAATTACAATACTTTTTTTTCTTTCTTTTCTCAAACAGATTGGGTGTATAATGCAATCTTACGATTTTTCCATTTCCGTTACTACTGTATATGAATTGGGACTTATGGATACAGATGTGTAATATCCTTCAGCGGGTTCGGTGTAAGCCACTAAATACAATAAGCAATTAACATGCGGTTTTCTTATGATAAGCAAAGTTGCTGTTGCTCTACTTACCTAATTCGCTTTCTATCATTGCTATAGATTTATAATCACCGTTTCCAGAAATTACATTTGCAGCATTTTGATTCAGGCGACTTAATATTTTGCGTTTATAATAAAGGGAATATGTCTTTTTACATAAAAATTGTGATTATTAGTAAATTACAAAAATGTATAACACCCCCCCCCCCCCCCCCCCCCCCCCCCCCCCCCCCCCCCACCAAAAAAAAAAAAAAAAAAAACTTCCCCAGCCACCGACGCCCGGGGCAAAAAACGAAGGGGGACCGGGGGGGGGGGTGGCGCGCCGCACAA